ATTATTAAATACCAATGTAACAATCTTTGCATTATATATCAATAGTTTGAAAAATTTAAAAAGTTGCTACCAAAAATGTCAATATAATAAAAAAACATTGCTCAAATTACTCGAAAAAACTCGAATTGCTCGAGCTCATGCTCAAAAATTTTCGAGTAATGAGCATTGAACAAGTGTGCGAGTACTCGTTGCTCATATACCCGGGCTGTTTGAAAATGTGCGAACAAAATCGAGAGCTCTACTCCAAACCCTTAAACTTTATGTCAACAGCAACATACCCGGGTATGTTTTGCGTTTTCAAATTGCTATATCTTGGAAACTATACATCAGATTAACTTGAAATTTCCTGATAACCACAACAAAAGTATTCTACACCATATTCCCATGTCTGAGTGGAATTGCACCGCCTGGACCCTTACGTCAACAGCTGCATACCCTGGTACATGGACGTACGCAGGGCTAGTTTTGGTAAACTGCTAGTTCCTCGATAATTTTATCAACTGTGAACGTCCTTTTCAACTTACTTTTGTTAGTCTGATAAACAGTCATTTACTTAAAAAAGGTAAAATAATTATTATCTTTTAAGATTTTCTCTTAGTTTGTACTTGAATTTAGGTTTAGGTATACTTAGCGTTCACAGAGGTTTTGTAGAAAAAACCAAAAATGAAATCATCACTAAAAAAATTTATCGATTTTCAGAAGACGCTCGAAAAGTATTGTTTAAATCAGGGCTACTCACAATTTTTATATTGAAGTGAAATCACAACATAATTTATACATAGATTTATACATAGATTGGCGCTTACACATATGTTAGTGTTAAGGTTAAGTACATAACCCGCTTAAATAACCAACATTTTTGTGCACCGTGAATTTTTTGATGTAATCTGAAGAAAATCCCTCTCTTAAGTACCTCTCCGCTTATTTACCCAACCCGCCTAAGTACCTTAATTTTTCGTACCCCATTTACCATTTCACTTATAATTTTCCCCTTTTACATAAAGTCAACGGTAATTTTTAGCCACTTGAAACTTGCACATTATGCCTGATTTCCAAACGTATCAATACAATGTTTGGAAACTGTTATACTGCGGTATCCAAACTGTTTGTATATGCAGAGTTGCGATACATTGCAACCATATACATTGCATATTTTAAATATGCAGTATAGCAGTGAACAATTTTTCTGAATTTTTCATTTTTAAACCACCAATGGTAACCAATAACACCGAAGCATCATCATTTGTTTCTGATGCCCTGACTGCTCTAGCGATGCGTTTTGATAACTTTTCGAATGCGTTTTGGAAAGGTAGACATTGTCAACCAATTGTAGTTCGGCGTTGTGGAAAACTATACTTTGTACGTATGCAAAGCAATTGACGTTTTGGAAGTCAGCCTATTACACTAAAATTGAATGGGCAATAAAAGGCTGACTTCCAAAACGTATCAATACAATGTTTAGAATCTGTTATATTGCGGTAATCAAACAGTTTGTATATGCAGAGTTGTGACACATTGCAACCATATATTGCATATTTTAAATATTCAATATAAAAATGAAGCATTTTTCTAAAATTTCCATTTCTAAAATACCAATGCTAACCAATAACAAACGAAGCATCAACTTTGTTTCTGATGCGCCGATTGCTTGAGCGATGCGTTTCGATAACTTTTCGGCTGCGTTGTGGAACAGTATACATTGTCAATATTTTGTAGTTCGGCGTTATGGAACCTTATACTTTGTACGAATGCAAAGCAATTGACGTTTTGGAAGTCAGCCAAACTGTGTATGTACTCAAAACACACTTCTGAGAAAAAATTTTAAAATTTTGATGATTTTTTTTAAGTGTTCCATAAAATTTTAAGCTTAGGTTTATATTGTATATTTATACTGGCTGCATTTCTTTATTCATTCTGAATGTTTGGAATAAACTTTTTTGTTTATTTATTCTTTAGAACGTTCCTGATGATATTTTGACGTATATTTCAAACGCATTCTGTTTATTCCGGCTGTGAAATGGGATTATCCGGAATGTATAAAGAAACGCAGCCATTATAAATATGTATAATCAATAACCTTTTAAATAATTTAATTCTTGTAAAAATTACATACCATTGCTTTATCTATTTTTTTATAATTTTCTTTATTTGTTTATCTATTTAAATAATGTTAAGATCTTGGTTTTGAACTACGTATACTTCATTCAATCTTCATGTTTTAATCAAGGATTTACATATTTATGCAAGTTGACAAGAGGATGTATCTACATCAATAATTATGTTCGCTTAAGTACCCGCATCGAGGTACTTAAGCGGGTTCTTTTAAGTACCCAACCCGCATAAGTACCTCAAAAAGCTGACATTTTTCGTGAGGTACTTAAGCGGGTTTTACTGTAGTTCGTTGCACTTATTAAGATATAAAAGCTAAGAAATATGTTATTGTATTCATCAAATAGAACAAGCTGCGTGTATCTTGTGGTTGATTTTGTTGTCTAAAATGTCAACAAAGGTAAAAAAATCGGTTATTTCACAGTAAATTTTAATCAAAATTGAAAATGCATGGATCACTTCGAATGAAAAAATGCAAATTTCAACCCTCTGCTGGTGTTACTTACTCAATGTCTCTTGGACCAACCGGTGATTCAAAGCAAAATAATTTCTGTAAACTACTACAAGGCTAATTCAGACAAGGTAGTATGAGTAGAGTTAAAACAAAATATTAATAAGAAATTATAGCATACTGACAGCCATGGTAATTGGATCTGAATTACCAATAAATGAGGTAATTCACTCTCAAAATTTTGTATGGCGAATTACGTAGTTCGAAGTGTAATTGGAGTGCGAATTACGAATGAGAGCGGACTACATAATTGGGGTGCCGTGGGAAGCCGTATTAGTATTTCCGCAGCCGCTGTGCGATGAAGGCTATGGGAGTGGGGATATGTGAAGATTTGAATGTATTTTTTACACCCAATTTACTCTCAGAACTGCTTTAGCACTTGCTGGCTCTTTAATTGCTTTAAGAGCCAAAAAATCTGTTCATCACTGTTCTAACCCAAAAGAAAAAAATTGACACAACTTTTGCCTTAAAAATTGGTAGGTTCAGAAGGCCCAGCAGTTGAGCGGAACCGTTGCTAAAGAAAATCAGTGAGGCGTCTTCTGAACGACTTCATACTTCAAATTCAACTGTCAACGGTACACAAAACATGTTGTCTTATATGATCAGAAAAATATTACGCTCGTCTAACACTCAACTGTTCAGTTTTTTTATTTTTTCAATTCCGATTATTCTTCGCTTAGATATAAAAACTTAAAGTATGCGATTGAAACAATGCAACTTCAAATGGCAGACCGAATATTTTAGTTTAAACCGCATACTTTACATTTTTATATTTTAAAAGCGAAGAAGTGTACTTTAAGGTAAAATCTATGGCATCATTCGAAAAGTTTTTTCTCGATTATGTCAGTTGTTGAAATTTGTCAAAAAGACTATTTTCACAGCTATACATCGGATTTCGATTCAGCACAAAAAATTGCATAGGAAATAGATGATCTAGTTTTTGGTTCTGGGATTTTCTAAAATTTTGTTGACTTGTGTATTATTTCCTGGAAATAATCACAAGTTCTTATACGTATTTACCTACCTCCAAAGGTTGAGGGAATATTTCTTTCTTCCCACATTGCCTTCGAAGAGATATGGTGAAGGCTCAGTAAGCGTGGATAAACATAATCTGAATTAATGATGTAGTTTTAACGAGATATATTTCTTTTTTGCAATCATAAAAACTAATTCATAAAATGACCCCGTCATTTCAAAAAGGTTTATCGTCAATGGAGGCACCCGATATATTCCTTTTAACCCCGAGCGCACTTGTGCACAAGGGTTTTATAACTTTGTTCACATAACGGTCTTTTGTAACAGGCAAAACGAAGCGAGATAGATATAGACAAATGCATACATAAATGATAAGAATGAAAAGAGAAATCGATTAAGCGGTGACTGTCTGTCCGTCCGTCTGTGCAAACGATAACTCGAGTAAAAATTGAGATATCTTAACGAAACTTGGTACGTGCACTTCTTTCGGGCGTAGGACGGATGCTATTGAAAATGGGCAAAATCGGACAATAACCACGCCTACCTGGCATATAACGGTAATTTTCAGAAATACGAAAACTGCGATATTTTAGTAACTACTGAAGATTATTCACTCAAAATTGATACTTACAATAATTTTTAGACAAAAAAATAAGAATATTATATATTTTTGGAAATTGGGCGTAGCCACGCCCACTTATGGTTACATGTATATATCTTGGTAACCGCTGCATCAATTTCTTCCAAACTTGGCACAGTTGTTAGCCCTGCTACATACGAAATGGCCGAAAGTTTTTAAAATCGGACAATGATCACGCCCACGTCCCATATAACGGTAATTTGGAGAAATACGAAATCTTAGATAATTATTAAAGATAACTTATTCAAAATTGATGCTTGCAACAGTTCTTTACCAAGAAATACGTTTATGATAAGAATTTGGAAAATGGGCGTGGCAACGCCCACTTATGATCACATATATGTATCTCGGTAACCGTTCTACCAATTTGTACCAAACTCGTTATGGTTATTGTGCTTGCCACATAAAAGCAAAAGGTTGAAAATTATTGAAATCGGACTAAAATTGAGGCCGCTTTTCATATAACGGTAAATTTCAGAAATGCTTGAAACTTCAATATTTCGAAATTTAAAGACGCTAATTTACTCAAAATTGATACACCCCGGCTTAGTATTTAGCGGTAGCTTTCGGAAAGGTGAAAATCATATATTTAATACTTGCGCCGGTTATTTAATGTTCGGCTCCGCCCGAACTTAGACCTTACTTGGTATTACTAAAATTACACTTATTTTTGTTTATGCTTCTTTTAACTATGTACATATTTTAAGTAATATTTGCAAATAATAGTAATGAACGGTTTTTTGCTCTTTTTAATATTTCTGTTAGCTTAACAAAATGAATTGGTGGGACCGCTTGACAACTGCAGATCCTCCAATTTCAACACGTAAAATAAACCCTGAGCCATCAAAACTTTCTGATCTGGACGGTGAAACTCGAAGTTTGGTTGAAAAAATGATGTATGATCAACGTCAAAAAGAGCTGGGTCTCCCAACAAGTGAAGATAAAAAGAAAATGGAGATATTAGAGAAGTATGAGCTACATAGTTACATTTGAGGGATTTACAATGGTGTCGTAAGTGTCGTATTGTTGTACGTCGTAAACTTTAAAACCTTTAATAAATGGTTAGAGAACTTGAAACTACAACGAACTATTTTTTTAAACTGGGAAAATTCATAATATCATTTGACGGTACTTTGCGAACCCCCTTAATATATTTATTAGGCGTTTAAAGTTTACGACATACAACAATATGACACTTACGGCGCCGTTGTGAATATCCCAATTATCTAACAATGATTGATTAATGTTATTTTTTTTTTTAGATTTAAAATGCAACATCCCGAGATGGACTTCTCAAATTGCAAATTCAACTGAAATGATGTTACACATATTTATCGTACATGTACCGTAATAAACAGATTATCTACAAATGTATATGTGAATATTTGTTAAGTTTTATGGCAGCATTTTGTTCAAACTCCACCTCGTTGTGGCTATGCTTACTTGTAACTAATGTACCAATGTATAACTTTTTTTACCGCGGTTTTTTGTCGATTTAATTCCGGTGTTCACTATGTATTTTTTTGACAACATATTTTGACGCAACTTTATCTTCTTTTTTCATACCGTTACCGATTACATCGTGTCACAGTCGATTTTACACACGAAAAAGGCAATATGTTCACAAAACTGGGGGCCAAATATAGTAAAACTGCGTTTTTAGTTTTTCTCTCTGACGTCAGGATCTTTTTAAAAGGACTTTCAAATTTCTAGAATATGATTGAATAAACAAATTATTCAAAAGATTGGATGCATTGTAGAATAAGAATATGGCTATCATTTAAAAGGAAAAACTCTGTAGAATAGAAAAAAAATCAATTTTTGGGTGCACCAGGACGATTAAGTATTGAAAATGTCCTTTTAAAACTTTATACTTGAACATCCAGGGAAATTTCCAATATTTATTTTTGAAAAAAATATATGTCAAGGACTAATATGTTAACTACCACATCCTCGAATTTGTTTATTTTATTAGTTTTACATCAAAAAAATTGTACACTTCTCTTTATAAGATATTGATAGTTACAATATACTGGAAGATACTGGAAACGTTATTTTTGAACCATGTATGCGCTCTAAAAGAACAAACTGACCGCATGATGTGCGGTGTAAATAATTTAATTGTTTTGTATACAAGGGCGTAGCAGGAGTTCATATAGAGGGAAAAAATGTTTTTAATAAAATTTTTTTTCTTTTTGTATATAAATAAAAATTTTTGGGATTAGGAAAGTATAAGTTTTGTGGTATCCTTTACAACGATACCAATTTTTTAAAAATCGGTTTGTAATTCTTTTGTTTAGTCTTTTTTTATAAAAAAAAAAGTTTTTTTTTGCTTTTAAGTGTTGTTTCTCAAATTTTTATATACGAAGTATTCAAATATGCATACCAGGAGAAAGGGTATTTAATCGCCTTTATAAAGATACCAAATTTTTAAAAATCGGTTAAGTTTTTTGGTAATTTTTTTATAAAACAGGTATTTTTTAATTTGAAGTGTTTTTTCTGAAATTTCTATAAACTAAGTATACAAATACGCATATCAGAAGAAAGAAGGTTTGATTGTGTTTATAGCGATATCAACTTTTTAAAAATCGCTTAGTAGTTTTTTGTTTAAAATATTTTTTTTATAAAATAACTATTTTTTTCGTTTTAAATGTTGTTTGTCAAATTTTTACATACAAAGTATACAAATATGCATATAAGAGAAGAAGAGGGTCTAATCACGTTTAGAACGATAACAACTTTTTAAAAATCAGTTCGAAATTGTTTGAAATATAAGGTTTTAAATTTTTCGAATATCCGACCTTTGCCCCCTTATAGCGCTGTAATACAACTTGGCAAAAAAAGTTATAAACCATTTAAATAAGAGCAAAAGGCGGTCTACGACTGTATTTTTAGTGTTTTTATTTATTTACATATAATCATAAAAAATAATTTTGTACCAAAGATCCTATTTCGAACTTCGAAGGCCCATATCTCGATTTCGGAGGCTAACTTCGAAAAACGGAGAAATTACTTTTTTACCTATGACTCAATCTCTTAAAAAAAAATTGGTTTGGTTAAGTGCCCAGCGGAGTGCTGTACAGTGTAATGATTCTAGTTACTTCATTTATGTACATATATTGTAACTATCAATATCTTATAAAGAGAAGTGTAAAATTTTTGTATCTAAGACTAATAAAGTTGGAAGGACGAAATTCGAGGATGTGGTAGTTTACATATTAGTCCTTGACATATATTTTTTTCAAAAATAAATATTGGAAAATTCCAAGGATATTCAAGGATAAGGTTTTAAAAGGACATTTTCAACATTTATTCGTCCTGGTGCAACAAAAAATATTTTTTTTTTAAATTCTACAGAATTACTTGTTACTCTACAATCCACCAAATCTTTTAAATATTTTTTGTATCCAATCATACCCTGGAAATTTCAAAGTCCTTTTAAAAAAACTCCCGGTGTCAGAGAGAAAAATTAAAAACGCAGTTATACTATATTTAACTCCCAGTTTTTAGAATATATTGACTTTTTCGCACCGTGTTATATTATGTGCCAAAAACAGACTGATAGCCAATTAAGCCGCACGTGCACACTAGAGTGGTCCAAGAAATCCTTTTTTTTATTATTATTCGGTGCTCACGCAAATTTGTGTTCCTTTTGCTAAAAAATGAAAATACATAACTTGATTTAAAAAAAAAAAAGTAAAATTAGAGGTCCCTCAAGTCTATTTATGTCCATACTCGTTTTTCAATCCTCGCGTATGCGAAATCCTTGAAGAAATTTAAGTTTTGTAAGATCTTATAATATGTTTTCGAAGCCGCTGAATATACTAGGAAATTAATTTTTTCGATCAGGCTGCAACGTTTTAGATATTACGAAAAACTTAAAACCAAACAAGAAAAGGTTCCGAAATTTTACTTTAAAAGTTGATTATTTCTTAGAAAAATAGTACTGAATTTTATGTCAGCGATGGTATTTATACCCACATCTTTAGCGAACCAAATGAGCCATCGCAGAGGATTTTACGTTCGTTACTGCTCGAGATATAGGCAAATTTTTGAACCTGAATATAGATGCGTGGCTAATACCTGTATTTAGAAAGCGTATCGCTTTAAGTTTTCGGCGTTTGCAAGATATTTTGAGGTGATATCTGATATTTTCAAGGTCACTAAGGGTGCTGAGTTAGTTTTTCTACGCCATGACCCGAGATATTGAGAAAAACTAAAAAAAAAAAACAGAAAAAATAAAAAAAAAATGTTTCTTGATTCCTGAAGAGGTACCTTAGTAACCTTAATGGTGTTTATGTCGTATCGATTCTTATGTCAAAAGTTTTAGATTTTGTGGAAAAAAAAAATGTTAATCATTTTCCATTTGGTTAGCATTATTAACTTGCATTAGCTTAATGAGTTCTAAAGCAATGAGTTCAGCAAGAAGTAGTAAGTAGTATTTTTGTTCTTTTTTTCTTTTTCAAACAGTTAGAAAGAATGTATAAACACCTCTCCCACTTAAATCGAATTAGAGAACAGCTGTTCGCTTAAATTAGCATATCGGAAAATAAAATATTAACTAATTTAATAATATATTTGCTTGCAAATCATATATCTCAAATAATGTTTATATCAGACATTCTTCTTCTTCTTATTTGGCACTTCAACTGTTTGTCGGTTTGGGCCGAGACCAAAAAGCTTTTCCAATTGCTTCTCTCCTGCGCGAATTTGCGCTAGTTGGTTATCCCGAGCGCAGACAGGTCCTTCTGCACTTGGTCCTTCCATTGCGTTCGTGGGTGCCCTTGCTTTTGTTGTCCACCCATTGGCGCGGAGTCGAAGGATCTTTTCACCGGAGAGTCGTCATCCATGCGAACAACATGTCCAAGCGAACTCAATCGCTGTATTTTTATGCGCTTAACTATGTCCATGTCGTTAAAAAGCTCATACAGTTCGTCATTCCATCTTTTTCGATATCCGCCATCCATGAAAACAGGGCCGTAGATTTTGCGTAGAATAGTTCTCTCGAAAGCCCCCAAAGCCTTCTCATCTTTGTTCGACATCGTCCAAGATGAGAGATTTGTAGAGCGCGGGTTTCGTTCGTCGAGAGAGGGCTCTGCTTTTCAATTGCCTACCGAGCCCAAAGTAGCACCTGTTGGCAAGAATTATTCTTCGCTTGATCTCCAGGCTGACGTTGTTGGTGGTGTTTATGGTGGATCCTATATAGACAAAGTCCTTCACTACTTTAAAGTTATACCTGCCAACAGTGACGTGTGTCCCGTAGCGCGTGGACTCTTTATATGTTGCCAGGAGGTACTTTGTCTTTCCCTCGTTCACCGCTAGTTCAACATCTTTAGCTTCTTTTTCTAAACTGGAAAATGCTGCGGTTACGTCCCTTTGTTTCAGACCTACGATATAGATATCATCTGCATACGCCAGCAGCATCGTTCTTTTGCTATAATATGGTGCCGCTGCGATTCCGATTGGCAGCTCTTATTACGCTTTCCAGCATCAGATTGAAAAAGTCGCACGAGAGTGAATCGCCTTGTCTAAAATCTCGTTTGGTCTCAAACGGTGCGGAGAGGTCCTTCCCAATTTGGACGGAGCTGAAGGTTGTGCTCAACGTCACTCTACATAGCCGTATTAGTTTTGCGGGGATCCCAAATTTGGACCTGGCGTCGTACAGGCAGCTCCTCTTCGTGCTATCAAAAGCAACTTTAAAGTCAACAAAAAGATGGTGTGTGTCGATTTGCTTATCTAGTGTCTTCTCCAGGATTTGACGTGCTGTGAAAATCTGGTCAATGGTGGACTTAGCAGGTCTGACGCCACACTGATATCAATCAGCTGGTTCGTGAACGGCTTCAGTCTTTCACACAGTATCGTCGACAGGACCTTGTATGCAATATTAAGAAGGCTTATTCCGCGATAATTGACGCAAACGGCGGTATCTCCCTCCTTGTGGATTGGGCAAAGTACACTGAGATTTCATTCTTCGGGCATGTATTCATCAGACCAAATTCTGCTTAAAAGCTGGTACATACGCCCCACCAACTCTTCGCCACCGGCTTTGAACAGCTCAGCCGGTATACCGTCGGCTCCGGGGGCTTTGTTGTTCTTAAGCCGCTTTATTGCTGTTCTCACCTCGTCTAGGGCCAGTTGAGGGACGTGAGCTTCGTCCCTATACATTGGTTCGGGTTCTCCTTCATCAAACGCGCCATCTGTTTCGCCATTTAAAAGCAATGAAAAGTGTTCCCTCCATATCTCAAGTGTACTATGGACATCGGTTACCAGGTTTCCATCTTCATCTTTGCAGGAGCTAGCCCCGGTCTTAAAACCATTTGATTGCTGCCTTATTTTCTGATAGAATTTTCGAGAGCAACTATCAGCACCTTCGT